AGAACAAGCTCACATCTCTTGTAATGGCTATATTGCTGGGAAATGTATATATCAGTGGTTCCCAAACTATTTAGGTTCAAGGCGTCCTTAATATTTCAATATTTTTCCAAGGCGCCCCAAGTCGAAACAATTTTATAGGTTGTTTATACCAGTATGCACAGTGCTGCAGCATATACTGGGCCCCTGTTCAGTAGAAATGCTTGCAGTTCAAGCGCAGATCCAGAACCTAATCTTGGGAGGGGCACAGGTAGATTATTTAAAGAAACAATCCAGGCACAATAACCACGTCAGCATGTTGTAGTGGTTATGGTGCTACTAGTGCCGTTTTGTCCTCCCAGGGTAAGTAGTCAAACTGTTTAAGAACAGTTTGAAAACTTACCTGCGATCTTCTGTGAAAGGGGCTTTAGTAGGGAATAGGGGCAGTAGTGTGTGTGAGGGTTGCAGTGTGTGTGTGGGTTGCAGTGTGTGCCTGTGAGGGGTGCAGTGTGTGTACAAGGGGGCCTTGTGTTTGTAAAGGATGTAGTGTATGTGTATGTGAGGGGTGCAGTGTGTGTGAGGGTGCACTGTATGTGTAAGTGGGGGGGCAGTGTGTGTGGGGTGGCAGGTTGTATGAGGGGTACAGTGTGTGGCGGAGGGCAAGTTGTGTGAGGGGTACAGGGTGTGTGTATGGCAGGGTAGTGTGTGTGTATGTGTGGGGGGGTGGAGTTATTGTGGGTCTGTGGGGGTAAGAGGGCAACTTCATAAATATATAATTTTATTTTAAATTAAAAATAATAATTTTCATATCCCCCCTCCCTTCTTACCTTTGCCTGGGAGGGGGGATAGTACAAGGCAATCCCTGGTGGTCCGGTGGAGAAGCCCTGGTGGTCCACGTGGTGAGAGTAAACTCTAGCAGCTTAGGTTAGAGCTCCCCACGAGTCTTCTCTCTCTCTCTCTCTCTCTACCTCCCTCCCCTGCCGCCTGCCAGCATTACAGTGCTAGCGGGCCGTGGATGGCGATCTCTGATCTCCCCTTCGGTCCTGCGGAGCCAGGAGGGGTGAGTGAGGAATAGACGGTTTCCGGTGCCATGCCATATGATTATAGCACCGGGAAATATTTTGCGGCACCCCTGTGTGCCTGTCACGACGCCACACAGTTTGGGAATCGCTGGTATAGATTTAATTTAATTTTAGGTGAATATTTTAATGCATAGTTTACTGTCATCAGGACCAACAAATACACTTTATATCTTGTAATGAGAGAGACTGTCTGCAAGTATTTACACATCACTACAATAACTAGTGTAAAACCACCAGCCATGATGGGGTGGTGCACTAGTTATTGCGTAAACACTAACAGTTCAAATCACCATAATACAAGAAGTCCCTTTTAGGTGAGTCATACATCCTGTAAATATAATTAATTGGTAATATGTATAGATACATGTTTCAATACATGCAGTAAGCTTGTCTCAACAACAACACAATTTTGTCTGAAAAGTTTCTTATAAACACCTATCCTAATGCTTTTACTTATCCTCCTTTTTTTCTAGATACATTTGCAAGTAAAGTAGCTGCCACCCAGGACGTATATGCAGATGCTTCAATTGGCAACGTGACTGGCAGCAATGCTGTTAATGTGTTCCTAGGTATTGGTATTGCGTGGTCTGTGGCTGCCATCTACTGGGCCTTCAAGGGACAGGAGTTCCATGTTTCAGCTGGAACCTTAGCATTTTCTGTCACCCTCTTCACCATCTTTGCTTTTGTCTGCATCAGCGTCTTGCTGTATAGGAGGCGACCTCATATTGGTGGGGAGCTAGGTGGGCCCAGGGGGTGTAGACTTGCCACAACTTTGCTCTTTGTGACCCTGTGGTTACTTTACATCTTGTTTGCAACTCTGGAAGCCTATTGTTACATCAAGGGATTCTAAGCTAAGCCAAGCTAAGCCAGCAACAAGCCCGCTGCCCTTTACCCAGCGGCAGACTCCATATACGGAGGGTCTACATAGCAGAAAGGATACCAGCCAATGAAGCAGCATCTCTAGGACTGCAGGATATTCCAAGACAACACAATCCAAAGGACAGCCACATTGGTATCGCTGGTCGAAGTGCATTTATAAGTATAACAGTGGAACTCTGACTACAGAAGACCTCTGTTAAACAAAAAGTTACAGCCAGTTACTTCAAGACGTAGCAGAACAGGGATTACTCATGAAATACCAGTCACTTTTTATAAACAAAATAACACGTATAACTAAATAGTTTTAGTTATTAAAAAATATCATACTTTAAGTTCTAATATAACAATGTGTTAGCTACATACAGCAAAAAAATACAATTCTGATTTTATTTTACTTTTCCATTTCTCCTCAGGAACCATTTGATTTATATTATATTTATTTTTCTCTTTGCTAGAAAATAGGTTGTTTTTTTTTTTTTTTTACATTTTGGTGTCTTCTCACCGGAATGGAATTATTTAGCATCGTAGTCTAAAGAGATTATAACGTAACACTTTTTTTTTTTTTTTAGTTTTTATTATTTTCCCTGCAAACCCAAGAAATCTGGAATGTCAAGGGAAACAAAAAAGAGATAGAGGAGGCCATTAAAAGCATATCAGTTTTCCCTGTCATACTCTGTACTGTATATTTGAAATCTGAATTTCACAAGTGCGGCAGCACTATGCTGGAACCAAGGAGACCGAGCGGAAATAAAAGGGAGTGCCTAACTGTAGAATCAGAGGAGGAAAGGTGGTAATCTTTACAATTCAAAGTTCATAAACTTTTGTACATAAAAATAGCTGTGATCACATTTTGCTGTTTATCAATGGGGTTGATGTCCGAAGTCCAGTTGAACCATAGAAGGTGACTTTCTGTCTTAGAATCCTAACTTACCTCTCTGCATTTTTCTAGAACAACAGTGGGACAATGCAACTCTTTCAACATCCAGTCCCCTCCAAGGTCCTAAAAGGATTATTACTTTTTCAAGTTAAGCACCCAACATGGAGGTTTGGATTCTTTGTGACTTGCGATTGTGTGCAGAAGTCACCTTAATTGTTCTCACAGATTATTTTGTTTTGGTGTTAATGCCCAAGCTTATTGCATCTCCCTTTTTACTGAATGGCAAAACTTGTATTTATTTTTTTAAGAAAAGAAAAAAAAAATCTAGATTTTACTAGACCAAAATGAAGGTTTCCATTCATCACCCCACCTGACATTTCTTTTTTTTTCTTTTTTCATTTTCACCACCAACCTCATGACATCCATTTATGACTCAACAGGGATTAATAAGCGAAAAGCAAGTTATTTATTTCATATATATGTGAATACATTTGATTTACTTTGTCTATGTAGAATATTAAAATACCAAACACCATCCTTTTCACACGTGTTGTGGTAAACCACTAATGTTACCAAGATAATGCTCTACATCTCCAAAAACAAAAAAGATGAATCATCCAAAGATATGGCTGTGATCCAATATTGACCGTCTTCATTATTTATAAAATTATTATTGTTGTAATTGGGGACATAAGGGTCACAATTATGTCTTGTAAACTCATTCACATTTGAAAATTGTGGTTCCCGAGAAAGCTTTAAGTAGTTTGTTTCAGCTGATGAAACAAAAACAAAATCTGAGGCAAACTTACTTTTGGGTGCTAAGAAGCTTAACAACCACCTAGATTTTGACTAATAAACATGTGTTTCGCAGTTATTTCACCTGACAGGAACCAAACCGTTTTTAAAATTATTATATTCTAAATGATTATCTTTATATGTCCTTAATCTTGGAATACCAGGTTCTCTCAACATAGTGTGTGATACAATACTTAGTCAAAGCTGAATGGACGAAAAGGAAAAAAAGCCAAATTAAATTAGATGTAACTCAAAATATAACATACTCTTCAAGCATGGTCTCTACAATCTCAGGGGGAGCACATGAGATCAAGTCCAGCAACCCAAGGATTTTTCAGGATTTTGGTGACACTCATGCTGTAATCTTATTGCTCTTCCACTGACTAATGGTAGCATCATCGATAAATAGGATACAAATTGTTACAGTCGTGCCTAGTGCCAAAGTGTCCTCCGCGTCAAATGAAAGGTGACTTTGATATCTTTCATGGCTTTGTCACTATGTAAAGGAATTGTGAAGGGTGCAGATAAATATTTTGTACCTGGATCAGATTACTTTTACACCCCTGCCTCAAAGTCAGATCTATCCCTTTCTGAGACCGTGTACAGGGCTATATAGCCACTAACATACGTTTAGTGGTATCCAAGAATTTACATTCACATACCTGGCACTTACGGGTAAGATTTATATGAGTAATAAATATACGCCATGTTTTATCAAAGCAGGAGTCCTTTTAATAAAGTTAAGCATTCATGTCCCACTGTGGTTCAATATCATGCTAGAATCAAGTATTTAGTGGTATCTGGTGAAGGGGTATTATTATGTGCTCCCTAGGCTTCGGTAAATGGTGGATCCAAGCAAAAAAATATTTTTAGGATCTCCACTTTTGTAAATCAATAGGGGTCAAGGCTCCAGGAAGTCTTTCTATGTTTATTTGGCTTGATGCAAAAATCAAAAATGTTATCGCCCGAACCTTTCTAATTTCATGACACAAAAAAAATAAAAAATTGTAGCATGTACAACCATTGAAAGAACACATTGAGGCATACGAAGTGAGATTTGCATATGGAAGTTCAAGTACATTAGAGCAAAAGGAAGAAAAACAAAATAATTGGTAAAGAAGTACATCATCTCAACATATTTCAAAGGTAGAAGATTTATAACAAACAGGTAAAACAAGGAGACGGGGACAGAAATAGAAAGGAAAAGTCGACAATGAAAAGGGGATAATGAGAATGGAAGAAGCAGTAGAGTAGATAAAAATGGGTGGGAGGACTTGATGCAAGGTAGATTGTGAAATATGAAAATTTTTGCATGTTTTTGAAAGAAAAGACTTTTAAGATTTTATCAAGACTTAAATTGATTAAATTAACCCCGCTGTGTATCTAACCTGCTTTAAAAACATATTTTTAATATCTTATCAATATGTCCTAAGGTGGCATCTTCTCCCATCATGCTGTATGCACCCGCTATCCAGTGATGCTCTTGTCACACTTGCGCATCAACATTGAATAACACAAGATATTTTTTTTTAATGCCAGGCTGTGCACTGTTAGCCTTTTATATCATGGAAAAAAAAAAGTTTGCTATTTAGTTTCACCAAAAACATTAAGTTGGGGGTGCACGCTGACAAAGCTGAACACGTGACACGTGGGCTGTGACAAAACTGAGGATTTTTTTTTTTTATTTCGAGGCAAAAATTATGGAGACATTCACTTAATTTATTAATCTGCAAACCCAGTTTCAAAAATGCTCTAAAGTCAATTTTATTCTATCAAAAAAAGCACCTGAAAGTCTTGAAAGAAACTCCAGAATGGGGTCAACAAGTTCATAAATGTTTCAGTGGCAGTAGTGCGCCCCAGCTAATTTTTTATTTTTATTTTTGCTTTTTTTTTTAAATAAGCAGCTCCACTTGTTTCACAGCAATGGCTTAAGACTCAAAATAAAACAAAAACAAAAAAATACAATATGTAATGAATCACAAGTCACCTGGACATTTATATTTTCTGTATTTTGCCCTGCAAACTAAAATGTCCACCTTTTCTAAATATATCAACACACTGTCTAATAAAGGCTCACTTCTATATACTTTACATAATTCTGTTTTTAATATACAATAAATTATTTATAATTCTAATTGCACATTGCACAGAATATCTGAATTTGCTTACGAATTACCTTTAGTAAATACCAAAATTGCAATTTTTGCCAAAAATCTGAGATTATGCCCAGATTATACAATTTTAATGCACGTTCAGAGCTTTTATACATCCTTTTGCCGTCTGATTTGTGCTATGGACAAAGATAAATGTGGAAAATTATGTAAAACCACCTGGTTGTAAATTATAATGTTTGCAGTACCAATTCCATTCACACTATCCCATACGGCATTTCTGCTTAAGCAACACTTTCTCTGCAGGACCCTCTGCATGTTTAGTCATGCTTGGCAGGTATGGCATAGACAAATGTTTAAGTGGGAATGGTGCAACTGCAAGTCTCACAAAACTCTCTCCTTAAACATCTGTTTTTGATAAAACTATATTTCCCTACTTCTTTAGCCACACTTTAGCATTGAATATCATTATATCCTATAATGGATGAACCGGTTAAAATTATCTACCCTGTGGTTCCATACAGATGCATTGATATCATGTAGAGATGTTACTGGGAGGCTGTACTGGGCTCAAGCCCTGGGTGGGGTCTGTAAGGACACCCTCTGACTCTGACTCTTATGCATCAAAATGTTACCATCCTCCCCCCTGCAGAAGCGTCAATTTGTGAGAAGACTTACCAATATTGATGCATCAGCATCATCTTCACATTGCTCTCCGCCTACCAGGCAGTCAATCTGAAGGGTCGCTTACTGATTTTGGTGCACGCACGTCAATTTTTGACAAACTGTTGCATCTAGGCGCAATGTCATTTTCATCAGGTCACACGTGTCATTCTGTCCTCAATCTGTCCTAAAATGAGGTGAGACACAATCTTCCTGCCATTAATCCATTATTAGACGGCGTCCCGTTTGACGCACTGCACCTGCACAAGAATGATAAAATCTGACACAAGGGTCCTGGTCCTGTTTAAACTACTCTAGCTTTTGGGCCTGTGCCCTTTTGTGGTCTCACGGCCCTTAAGTAAGTTCGTCATTCCTGGCCATTTGATCCAGGCCCAGCTTGTCATTGACTTAGATTTTTCCGTCCTATATTCAAGTGTACCAGAGCATCCCTTACTTTGTTTATTGCCTTATTCCAGTATTCAAGTGTACCAGACACCGTTTGTCCTAGCTTTGCACAGTCTTATCCATTATTTTGTAAGTGTTTAGCACTGATACTTCCTATTTATGTCTAAGCATTAAGCCCGGCCACTCTTAAGGTCCGGTAATATGCCTATCTATCTTTTCCCATTGTGCCTTTGGTAGGTTGATGACTTAAATCTTGCAGAGGATCCTATCATACCCTGATAGGGTCCTGTAAAGCTCCTGGTCTGATTTAGGCATCTTTTCATTGTTAATCCCTACTCGCCTGTAATAAAAAAATAAAAAAAAAAAAAGGAAATAGCAGCTCCGATCACATAATAGGTGACCATGCCACTGTAATGCACCATATGTGAAATTAATTGTACAGCATAGTGTGGAGATATTGCTGTGGTTGCAGGGTGCTAATGCAGTGGGTTGAAGGTTAATGCTTGGATTAGCAAATCTTTGAGGGGCCAGGGTTAACATAGCACGGTGTGATGTTCAAGGTGCAAGTGTGGACTTTATGAATATAGTTTTTATAGAATGCTTTCAATTCATGCAAAGACTTGAGGTCATAATGAGATTCATAGAACATGTTTTGGTTTAAGATTGGACATAGGGCACGGTTAGATTATAAACTCAAGAGCCATCTAGCTTAGTATGTTGTACAAACGGGCTGTAAATGCTAAATCTCAGCTCGCAGGCAGGGTCGTCTATTCTGTTTCTATTGGTTATCTATAATGCACCACGAAAAGGGTATAATGAGAATGGAAGAAGTAGTAGAGAAGATAAAAATTTGTGGGAGGACTTTATGCAAGGTAGATTGTGAATAAGGATTTTTACATGTTTTTGAAAGAAAAGACTTTTAAGATTTTATCAAGACTTAAATTGGTCAAATTAACCCCACTTTGTATCTAACCTGCTTTTAAAACATATTTTTAATATCTTCTAAAGATGTCCTAAGGTGGTTTGCATCTTCTCCCATCATGCTGTATACGCAAGCATACGTACACCTCTCCGTAATTTATTGGCACTTTATAAATATAATAATGAGGGGGCTTAAGTCAATATATGTGGGTTGTCATACAATTTACCCTAGGGTTGTCACCTCTTTTATTTTTCCCACACAGCAACACCCCTTTTATTATGTTATTTCGTCCACAGAGTTCTCGTGCATGGGGAGGGCCTCCAGAACCTTTGGTCTACTGTTAGTCTCGTTACATTGGCACTGATTGCTTGTTTGAACTGTTTAGTTTCACAGGGATTCTATGCATCATATTTTGTCCTTTTTCAGGGTTCCATCTTGAACATTGCAATCTTTTCCTGCACATTTGTAAAGATTAATTTAGTACATTTTGCACCCATGTAAATGAGGTGCCTTGAGAACCTTCGTTGTTTGATCCTATCATGAATCTGTTATATAGTTGGTTTGCAATTGTGGTCACTTAATTCTAGTTATATCCTATTTACATTACTTGTGTTTTTAAGCAGAACTTCAACTATTGCATAAAAGCAAGATACGTTCCCCTTGGAAGCTCCAGTACCAACAAGTCAGAGTAGAGTAAGGAATAGTCAACACAAAAATGCGTGATCCCAAGGACCAACTCCTTTATCCATGGAGACTGGATTAAAAACCCTGGAAATAAAAGTCAGATTTTTCTCTCCAGATGTTGTGTACTACTTCTACCATAATGCTCTTACAGCAATAATGCTAGGGAAACATTGGGGAGATCTAGTCCACAACAGCTTGAGTGCCATCTTGTAGAGGAACTTGATCACCATAATCGTTCTACTTGGTATTAGACCAACATACCAGAACTACAGTTGTTCTTCCCAGTGCTGGTAAGGACCCAGACCTCTGACCAACCTGTATACCAGGGATAGGCAACCTTCGGCACTCCAGATGTTGTGGACTACATGTTCCATGATGCTTTACCAGCATTGTGGCTGTAAGAGGCTTGTGGGAGGTGTAGTCAAAAACATCTGCAGTGCCGAAGGTTGCCTATCCCTGCTGTATACCAATCTAATGATTGTTGATATCAAATTGTTTGTTAAAAACTATACTTATATATTCTTCACAATCAGGTTGGGTTTCTCACTGTCCTCGAAACCAGGGATAACACTGTGAAAATATTAAACCTTTTTCACAAAGCGTATTCTGCTAAAATATTGTCTGTTCATTTGATCACATGCATTACACAGGCAGATCTTGGTATTCATAAGCTTCACACAGCCTCATGAACATTCTTATCACGTTCAAATTGTCATTCTACTCTCTGTGCCCTTTTAAGGGGAACCATAGAAGGAACCATAGGAAGAGGGCTGATGAACCAAGGCTGATCAGTTTGCCCATATCTTGGCTAGAACCTGAAAGCTGTATAATCCTCCATACAAACAGCTTACTAATCAATATCTCTGTCACCGTACAGAACAAATGTTCTAACAGAGGTTCTCTGGTTTGGATAAAATGAACTAACTGATGAAATAATGTTTCCCTGGGAGCTTACACACGTCTTTATGTATTTTTGAGATGTGATGAAATATATGCATTTTTAGATACAAATATCAAAGATTTTGCCTACTTAATAATATGTCTACCAAACTGATATATTAATTGTATAGCTAATTTAGCTAATACAAGCATCTTCTTACAATACAGCATAGTACTTTTAACCTTGTAAGATTCACCAAGCTTTGTTCATATAAAATCAGTGTTTTCAGTCCCCTCTACCTTAATCTCTATTCATTATTTTATTTAAAAAAAAATTTAATTCTTTATTTTTGTCATGCATAAAGATATACAACATATCTGCCATGCCTCAACAGCATTAGCAATCATTTTAAGATCTATGACATTGTAAGGTACATGACAGAACACTGCAAGTCATTCGAAAGAGCATGCACAAAATGATTAAAGTATTGATGGATTTAATAGAGTAGTACTCAAACTATACTATGTGTGTCTGGTCAGAATGCCTGGGTAAGCTAGGAAACATATAGTATGACAGACACAGAGATTAGAACACCTAAGAGGTGCCCAGATACTTGTAACGTTTCAAGTTATATAAGTAGAGTGTGCCTATCTAACGGCATTGAGCTGACGAATCACAAGAAATTTTAAATCAAAAGAGGAAACCATAACTATAAAAACAATAAAATGGATATCGACAGTGGAGGTGTCAGGCAATGTTAATCAGGCGTGTTAATTAGAGGGAGAATAACGCCAGCTGGTAGGAGTCCAGGTTTCGGATCAGCCGATGTCACTTTGGGGCTTAGCAGAGTGTTTTCGCAAATCGGTTATCAGGCACATGAGCCCGATAGTGGACCATGGTAGTACCGTAGTGGAGTGTAGCGATGAGCCCAGTTGTGACCCAAGAGGTACCTCTAGAATGCCAGTCTGTCGGGATAATGCAGGGTTGATCCCACGCCTAAGCTGACTTGTAGCTAGGCTACGCCCAGCTCCTGACGACTTGTGGTGGATTAGACGTCTCCTCCATTCTTGGGTTCACCTCTGTCCTGTAGCAACATGCTGCTGGGGATGCCGCAGGAACTTTTGAGTGGACTGGGTTTGCTTCTCTGGGACGTTGAATCGTTGCTGGTGCTCACTGACCCTGTTCTGCAATCTCTTCCAGAAGTCAGCAAATATTGTGTTCAACCTGGCTTCATATTCAAGTTGTGCAATCCTGGGGTTAACGAGACACGCGGTCTCAGCCATATTGGATGGCTTCTACAACTTTGAAAGGTTCGTACACCTGACTTGTTGAATCTCGGTCGTCTCTCAGGTGTGGACCGGGGTCACCCCCACCGGTCCAAAAGGAGGGGGTTAACGGGGATGTTGCTTGAAAGTGGTTGCTCCTGTGCATCTCCCTCCCTGGTTGCACTAGGCCACTTCTGCCACGATGTGATAACAAAGCTCTTGACAAGGTGAATACTGCTGCCCAACTTGTCAGGTAAGTCAGGAGTGCAATTGCTTCACTCGACTTATCGTGGTTTAGTTTGGTGAAGACACAAAAGACTATTTCCATCAATATATTGGAGGAGTTCATTCACAACGCGTCTCTCCACCATGACAGTCAGGCCCCTCCCCCCTTAATCACTTTTCTTAATCACAGATTAGTTATTCTTTCCCAATTCATTTAATTTAAATTCAAGACCTGTATCCTTTTATCACAAGTCTTCCTTAGATCTTTCATGCCAAAGTCAGATAACAAGGGAGTACACTGCTTCTTTTCTGTATTCAATAATATCTTTATTAAGCTTTAAAGATATTCTAATTAATGTTCCCCAACCGATCCACATCTAAGTTACTGTTTGGAATTACATAATACTATTTGTTCACTGTAGTAGTTATGGTACTAACCAGCCCTTGACATCTCCCTTCAGTTCTGTGTCAAAAAGTTTCTGAGCAGTTTTACACAAACCAAGGATCCACAGGGCACCTATTGTCCATTTTTTATTTGGCATATTGCTATTGGTGAAGTTATGCTTTCGCGTTAGCAATACAAATTTTTGCCCAAATTTCGACAGCCTTCATTGGTCAAGCGTAGCTGTAGTGATTATGACACTTAGTGTGTCCTACAAATGTAAATTTTTTTACAACAATATGTACACTTTAATTTGAAGAATATGTGGATGAGATAATAGCACAAAGGACAAACCCTGAATTTATTATCATGTATGTTACATTGTCGCATAGTTGTCTAGGTTGAAAAAAGACTGCAGGTTTAGTTTGAATTTTAAAAGACTGAATACACAATGTAATTAAATTTTAAAATTGACTATTCAAATGTGTGTTGAATAGTCAGTATAATACATGGTAAATATTTGTGGAGTTGCTGGATCTCCTAAAGACAAATATCATAGGATTATTGTCCAATTTTTTTCATCCCTCTTTCTATCATAATATTCTCCTTAATTCCACTGTTAATGAATGTTATCTCCTTTACTAGCCAGTAAATAATGATTTTTTTTATTTAGGTGAGACATTATACCATACAATAAAGCATAGCTTGGCATAATGATAAACAAAGACATATGTGTATGCTTCGATCTGTACCCTTTTTCTAATAGTTAAAGAAAATATGTTTAACTTTTCTAAGAGAACAGTGAGTCCTGAACCCAACTTTACGCTAATGTTGCAATAAGTGACGTTGAGTCATGTCTTTTACATGGTTCATAGTGCACCTTTACATATGAACAAGGACTTCACTGTGATTTTCTACCTTTACAAAGGGGACTGCTGGGGGGAGGCAAAATATATATTACTGATTTTGGCATTCTTCACACTTGGAAATTAGGTTGATGAGTTGATGTACCGCAAAGGGGGGACTAAGGTAGCCTATGTGCCACCTTTCTAACAACAAAGAAAATTAAATAAAATTAAATTAACTGACATTAAGTAAGAAAGGGAAAATAATAGTTGGAATGAGGTCCACAAGACTAAGTCTTTTCCACCCCTTGGGACAAAACTAACCACTGTATTTATGTCCCAGGTTTGTGTAGTAGAAGAGCCTCTGGGATCCGGAGGTTAGGTGGAAAGGCCCAAATGCCCAAAGCAAAGATGTGGCCTCTTTGGAGAGGACAGTTGAAGTACCCAACTGTCAGTGATCTTGATGCAGTCCAAGAGTAGGCCACTCTAGCTTTTCAAAGTTGTCGAGTGACTTGACCCAGCGATCACCTTTGGAGAATGGATCTGGGCAAGTCCTGGTAGAAGGTGAGATGGAAAGATTAAAAAACTTTTGGGGTCTTGTCCTGTAGAGCAGCCATGAGTAATTTTGGCATTGGAGTATAACATTGCGAGTGGCAGACGATGGAGCTCTTGGTGTTTTATTAATGTAGTATGTCTATCAAGCACAATTTTTTTTAATTTTTTTTTTGTAGAAGGTATGATAGATGCTGTGAGGCTCCTAACATAGTGTGGTTATTCTTCTGTAGCTATTAAATCAGAGATGCCTCTGATTTTGATATTGGCCCATCTTCTCCTGTCATAGAGCGTGTGTATCTGCTGGGCAAGTGCACCCACAGGGCAGGTGCAGTCTGCATTGCCTGAACCTGCTGCAGAGATTCCCTCATCAAGGTCATGTCCTGTCAGATATCAATAATGTCTTCCTGGGAGACTTGGAGTCTGACAGTCACTGCCTGGACATCGTATTTAACTAATTCTAGACCTGCTGCAAACAACTTTTAATGTGCAACAATATATTTTGTATGTCTTGCTTTGTTGCTGGTGCATCTCCCTCTGCCAGTAGGGATGGGAAGAATGTTTTTACTTGATGTGTAGGCATCATGTTCCCACGGGAAGTTATCTTAGAAGCAGCATGGCGCTGAAACAAAGTACCTATGTCTCTATTGTCAGTGGATGTAGATGCCTATGGATTTTGAGATCCATGGCCCATTATGTTTGAATTGGGAGATTGATAGTAACCTGCAAACCGGGAGCACGCTGCTCCCTGCTGAAAGGAGAGATAAGCCTCAGATCGGGAGGAGCTATGACGTGCCTCTTGAGGGGTAGAAAAAAGGCACCTATCAATTGTGCACCCCTGCAGGGCAGATGCTCATAATATGCCATTGGAATAATTCGGCCACATCTTGGTAATCTGTGTTTTCTCCGGTGTATATCAAGAGCACTGTAAAATGTCGTCCACTCAGTACAGATTCTTGGCTTTTCGCCCCCCCCCCCCCCAAGAATAATTTATTATTCAAGAGAATAATTAATCTGAAATTGGAACTAGGTGCATCCCATTAGGTATAATAGTATCTCACATTTATACAATAAATTGAAAACAAAACAATATAGAATATTATAAAAAAAAACAACAGTGTCAGATTAATGAAAAACAATTACTAAGAAAAATAAAAAAAACAGATTTATTATAGGTTTCTCAGCTGTGTGACAGCAGAGGAGAGAAATACACAACGTGGCATTCAAATACTGCTAAGAAGGTACATTACTCAAAAATTAAATAGCAGATTAATGAGTTTCGCAACATCATCGAATAGCCCCGTATAAAGTCAGACATTTAATAACCTACATAAGTGAAAGATGAGGGAATAAACAATGTAAGCACAACTATAAATTACATAACAGTTAGTCTAGATATGGCATAATGTGTGAAAGCGTGAATATGTATAGTAATTGCAAAGGATGTTAGAGATTGCATATGTCACCTGGACAAATAGCGTACATTTGTGTGCACTCCTGTGAACATTCTAGAATATTTTGCTTTAAAAACTGTTTGCCTTTATCACTTTCTGTTGTGCTACTATGTAACACAATTACTGTTGTCAGTGCTATGTGTTTGGTGGTTACAGCATTCTATTTTAGTTCTCAATTTTATTTTTGCATCACACGTTTCTTGTTCCAGAGGGGTCTGAACTGCATTATAAGCGCTTTTTGATAAGGTGATAGATTAAGTAGCCATTTTATATGTAAGGATATATCAAATCTATATTTTAAACTTGGGTTAAAAGAAAAGAATGCTATTTTAAGGGGTTTTGAGTGAATAACAATAACAGGTATATTGAGACGTTTATATTCAGATCTACAAGCTATGGTTTTAAAGTTTACATGACACAATATTGTCTAATGCAGTCATAATTATATTGCTTATATAATCTATATGAAGTGCTCTTGCGCTCATAGGAAAGCTGTGCTGTACTATTCTTTGTAGTCATAGCCGTATCTCTCAGACCTTTTTATTTTTAAAAGAAGTACACAGGGGAAGAATCTATTTATCAATGTATAAGGGAACATTGACCCCCCCTATCATCTTTCTTATGGGAGCAGAATTAGGTGGTCTCAGATAAAATACCAGGTCTGTCCTCACATTATGTTGCATAAGTCCCTCATCTGTCTTCCCAATTTAAATTTTAAACTGTTGCTGTGCTCATTTCATTGTACTGGCTCATTACTGTAGCTATAACTCTGCCTCTGGTTCTTTCATGTCAAAGGAGGACTTGTACTTCCCTATTTGCCAGTCAAAATATGTGCAACCTGTCTATGTAACATTCACATGCCAAGCATAAATCTACCCTCCTGTCTTCTGCAGTTTAGCAAAAAGTCTCCCTCAAACATTTTAAAACATTTATCTAAATATTACATTAAAAGGGGGAAGAGGGCACTTCTACTCCCACAGTGTCCCATTAATATGTTGTACCATTATATTAGATACCTATGGCATAAAAGGTTGTGAAATTGGTCTCTGTAGTTGGCGTAGGGAAGGCTCTCTCAATCATCCATGTCTTAAAAAATACTTTTATTTACTTTTTTTAAATGTATTCTTTGTGATATTTTGTTGATACAGCTGACTATTATATAAAAAGCAATGCTCTTGCTAAAGATCGTGTTTATTTTTAAAAATTCTTTATTTATATCTTGGCACAATACGCGATGACAACTCCAAATAACAATGAGACAAGTAGAGTGTCCAAGGCATTTAAAGTTTTTAGAGAACTCAATAACATTATAATGAAACCAAAAACAAAAATGATCCTATCTCACTGCGAGTTGAAGCAGCAGACCCCCTTTACCGTACCTCATAAGGTAGAAGTCTCACAGAGCTCCTGCACTTTAGCATATGACTTTCAAGAGTGTTATGGCCATTGTATGCGATCAAAAGCCTTCTCTGCATCAGGAGATAGGACTTAAGATCAGATTTCATGAAAGTGTCCATAGTAGGTCCCTGGGAGCTGTCAGGCCTCCTTAGTCTAAGCTAGCATCGAGAGCATGTGAAATTGCAGGTGTTGTAGCTTTGTAATGTGACCATCATCCACCACCAATTAACTGGATTTAACACTAGGTTGTATTTTGCATGTAGTTTGTCAACCCTTATTAGTTGAAGAACATCATTGATAATTTTAATGCAATAATGTTACCGTTCATTCAGTGATACATTTGCAGTTTATTGGGTTGGTTCTCTGCTACTAATAGCACTGTTTCACTAATCAGCTACTGGGTTATAAATTGAGAATTTGGGCTTTAGCCCTATATTAATCTATTATTTTGGTTTACTTCTTCGCCACTGAATGTCTTGTCATTAAAGATCATTGTTATTTACATAATAGAAAAGATCTGTACATGCAGAGTAGAAGGTGTCTGCTTTTGGGACTAGCAGGGAATGCCCAGAGCATTCAATATGTTTTGACCCGTTTTGTCTTATGACACAAGAGGCATTGTTAACGTTCTAAAATAATACAAAATAAATATTAAGAGGACTGCAGCATACAGGGCTAAAACAGGTAAGGCTGTAGTGGATATCCATGACCGTGATTTCCCCCATTCAGGTTTAGATCAAAACAAAAGTGGCTGGTAGAGTTTCAAATGTTGGCTACAATGATGAAATCCTATGTTACTGAATATTCTTGTAACATAAATGGTCAGTGGTGTATGATGCTTATATTGCAAAGAGGAATCAACATGATGCTATTAATTTGAAAGGATTTTTTTTTTTTTTTTTACAAAATATCGTTAGTAGTAGTATACTACTTATTTGTTATTACTATTTTCCATGCAAGACAATAAAGGCACAGTCTCCTGGTAAACAATATAAATCTCCTGCTATCTTGTTATGGTGCGCAAGTGTACAAGCACACATGCAAACACACAAAAGACTGTTGGGCATCATCAAAGTATCCGGAGATTTGAATTTCAAGTTAATGAATTTAAAACAGTGTAGAGTTTATCTATCACTTTGTTACCACTAAAGTCCAATCAGAGATGGGCCACTGTTGGTTTTCACAAAGACTATCCAATCTTCGTAGAATTATTCACGAAAGGAAATGTTTTTTCTATGATCTTATTTTTAGAGTCAATAATCTCAAAAGAATCTCATCAACACCTCTTACCTGGAACAACGTACTAAGGCGGTGCACATGGAGACTGGACATGTCAACAGACACAAATTTGTACAGTATATAACCGTCTGTTATCTATTCTCTCTGCCTAGCATCCTCCTTTGGAGCAGCCATACATTTTTGGAGGACATACAAATGTCCCCTTGATGCTTCTTTGATACATTACCCTGAATCAAGATTACACGTCAAACAATACATTCAGATAACACTAGTACCTTCAGTTCTTTCTCTTTAATTCCCCAGTCCTTACTTTCTCTGCACTAAGCTTGTTGTTAGCTTATTTTGTCTGTTGCCAGCCTTGACATTTGGCCTGTTGTTGCTCAACCTGTATTTCCAGAACTAATCTCCAGCTTATGTAAGAGTCCTAGACCTTGCACAAATTGGCCTGAATTTTTAACTTTGTACCATTGCTTTATTTTCCCATCTTATCTGGTGCTTGTCCCACCTATTCGTTTGACTCCAGACTTGCCCGTGATTACACCAAAGTGCCAGAAAAGTCCCAGTGACCACTATATTCATGGGCTCAACTGGCAAGGTCAAGTGGGTGCTTTAAGTAAGGACTTTCTAAAGTGCCAGTACATAGACAAGCTTATCTTTGCATAGCTATATCCAGATCCCCTCTACTATTGTAACAATAGTAACCCCCTTAGATGCCAGACAGCTCAAAAAGATCTCAAGAGATCTGAGGGGATATTATTTCACTTGCGTATATAAATAATCTTTCTATACCTCTTCCTATCCAGAGGTAGGTAAACACTTACAAGTACTTTGTTCCTTTATAGGTACATAATATTTTAATGGCAATAATGTGTCTTCTTGGTATTTGAAGTTTCTTACTGAGAAGCATTGCTGTCTGTATGCCAAATAGTTCTGTATTGCAACTTTTCAAAAAATATAATAGACCTTAGCATATCATGCCATTCATACTGTGGAGTGATTGGGACATTGTCCCAAGTACATTTACAATGAATAACCAATTAATAACTAATCTAATTTGTTTTCATATTGATTATTTGCATTGACATAAAAAAACAAAAACCTGGAGGGTGTTACAGCAGGGGGAGAATTTAAAGTGAGATGAGGAACTCGATGAAGGGGAGAAAATAAAGTGGACAGGAGTGAAGAAGAGACAAATTGTCAATTGTTCCCTAGTACACTATTTATCGTACAGTACCAATCCCAGTATATTCAGTATACCTGTCCCCAATAAAGTCCTCCACTCCAACACTCCAACTCATGAAGTCTTCTCCCTATCATCAAGACATCTTTCACATAGCACAGGTTTCACCCTCATCTCTAGTTAGTGATAAAAGGATTGCTGGAGAGGCCGTCGAAGGATACAGATGTGGATACAAGCAAAAAAAAAAAATAATAAAACAAGGGGCAAATTAGAGTTATAAAGAGTTTTGAGTGAGAGGTAGGGATACATTAGGGGGCATAGCACTGGATAATTCCGTAAGGGGCAACATTTTTGGATGAGCCCTGTTTGCTCTCCTTTTGATTGTATTCTAGGACTTCCTATATAGAATTTGATGGTTTATTTCACGATCATGTAATGAGTCTGATATTTTTAAGGATGTATATGTCATTCACGTATTTTCTCCTTAAATTGGAACAGAAAGAGACAGAGGAGTTGCATTAAAATCATTGCTCAAGAATTAGTTAATACCCACATTTTCCTGCCCCATTTGCGGTGGTATTGCTGAAGGTTTCATATACTGTGTGCACTATCTTATTCCTCCCCAGGGAAAATACGTGTTGACTACATGAATCCTGAAAGGCTGTTCATATCACAAGGGGTAATATTTGGTCAACACGGCAATAATGTAAAGGATTTTCAAGTATAATTAGATGCACATGATTATTCTTTCAAACTAAAATTAGAAAAGAAAAGGTTAAAATGTATAATCCCATCTATGTTTTTCTTCGTATGTGTTGTTGCTTATTGCTAATTATTCTAACTAGTTATTCTGCTATCTTGGCCACAAGATTAACGGAAAATCTTTCAAAAAGAAAAAAAAAAATAATACGCCAATGTTTTGCAAAATAATTGACAAAAGCTCAAAAGCTAGTGTTTTCTAAAAAATTTTTTATGTTTTAATGAAAGTGTTTTTTCATGCTTGTCAAGTCATGCACTCACATCGTCTTACCATAAATTAATATATTTTGCCAAGAAAAGTACATAGCATATTCTTCATTAAAATGTTTATTTTAATTGCTGCAATTGCTAAAGGATTAAATATTTATTGATATGATAATATATTTTATGAAAGTATACTGTATAGTTTGAATAATTATTCAAAGTATGTTAAATCGAAATTATTTGATCAGAAAAATGTTGGAAACACATTTCCTCATCTGCCAATGTTTGGGAATCAAGCGAGATTGGGCACTGGATATAAAGACCCTTTTCCCCTTTAAAGAGCAATGTGTAATGTATTTTGTTACCACTCATGTGTTGTAATAAACATTTTTTTTTTAATACAAAACAATATAATATTTAAATGGAGTGTTGTGATTTGTTATCCTCTGAAAAATCTTCAAATAAGATAAATACATATGGGGTCATTATATCTTCACTGAGTTTATAAAAATATATCTGTCATATGTCCAATTCTAGAACAGGGTAACCCCAGATATATTCCATTTCTTAGAGAGACAATTTGCTAAGTTTTAAAACAATATTTTCATTAACTCCTTAAGGGCGAAACTTTAGTTTGCTTGTTTTGTACTTTAGGACCAGAGCAATTTTAGCATATATTTTTCATTTTGTGTTCAACCACAATTTCCATCTTTCTCATTTATTGCATCAACACATATTATATACCATTTTTCAAAGGACAAAAATAGCTGGTGCCTGTTCACCAATTGTCCTTCCTTGCACCACTTTTGGTAGGTACTAACCACTGTTTTAAAAATTCAAAAAGGGAACAGGCTGCGCCAAATATGAATGTTGGCTAAACAAGTGTATGAACACAATATACCAATGTAAAAAAAGCTTAAATAAGAATATGGTATAAAAGTCCTTTACGAACACCACTGGGACTTCCACCTCCATTTATGTTCGGTTGGATTCATATGAATTGAATGGCGTTCGGTGGGAGCGAACAAGATACATTGGCTGAGCATATGCACGAACAATCCATTCGTTAGTTTTAGTGTGTCTTGTACTCCTGAAAGAGACCGACCACACAGCCTGATTTCATGGAACTCTTTTAGGCAGGAGCCTCGTGTGCAGCCGGTTAAATTATAACATCCGTGGAAATCCCAGACCCCTCAACCGATCTGGGTGATTTTTGGATATGTTGGTCCCCCAGATCAGGGCTATTAGGGGATGTGACTTTTGTGGGGTTTCCATGTGTTTTAGGGGTACTTCCGGGACATTGTTAAAATGTGTGTTTTCTGTGCCTGGAGATAATTGCGTTTAGTACAGTTCCTAACTCAATTATCTCCCAGGCACATGGGAGGGATTATCTTATTTTGTGTGTGAGTGTCCTGGACCTGAGAGCCAATGTAATTGTGTGTATGCTTTTATTGTAGTCTACTCTCAGGTCCAGTGGGGAGTGCCCCTTGCATGTGGACCTGCATATAAGGCCAGTTGTGGCTGCCAATAAATGAGTTCCTACCTCCCCTTAACATAGTCTCATCTCATGTGTGGGGAACAGCTGTATCTGCTCTGGGGATTGCTATATCACGATACTCCCCTGGGTTATGATCACTTGCTCTTGTAAGAGCACCCTGCTCTGCTCCCTGGCTTAGGAGAGGTCTACCTACTGGAGACTGGATCCTAGTCTTGGGTCCAGGGTGGGTGGAGGACAGCGAGACCCCAACCAAGCTGTAACGCTGGAAGTGGGGACTACGGTGCGGATGGTATCTGGTGGAGTGCTTAGGAGTACTCAGAGGTACTAGGAAGCAGCGATTGGTGGAGGCAACTGGTTGGGGTGCCAGGCGGTCCACCACAGTACTAATATAAAACCTGCTGCAAATAGTATTCTTGGAGGTCGACCTGTTGTCCTCCTTGCTGAATAAATAATCAGGTCTGTTAGTAGAGATGAGGTGTTTTTTTAAAAAAGTTGTCCCATATGAAATAGGAACACAAAAAGATGCCAATCGTGTAACCCAATATATACAGTGCCCTAGCTAATGTTATGATAAAGCTACACTCATAAGGAGAGAGCCTTCAATCATCTCTTAGATAAGGCTTTGAGCAGAATAATCTCCACTCTCGGAAAAAAATGGAGATGTGCCTTTGGATATTCACGACACAGTTGACGTATGAAATAAATGGAATAAAATATAGTACTGTCTGCTTTGAATATTGGTACTAGAAAAAAATTTGCAATGAAATCTACTTACATTTTTGGGAGCATCATTAGCTCCGTTAAATCGGCATGGGTGATATGATCCCCACCAAGGATATATGTAGGTAGATTTGGAGGAAAGTGCCAGTGCTTGGAGAGGTTCCTCTGGAGGTATTGGAGAGATGCAGGATCAAGATTAAAAAAAATGTTTTTTAAAGATTTTTTGAATGGTAAAAACAATATTAATTGTTATATACCATGCAAAATAAATACAATCAGATAAAGTCAGTCCTTTATTCAATTACATGTTTCATCCATAGGCTTTTTCAAGTGATCACTTGTTGCCTAATATATTCCAACCCTTGACAGCTGCTACTGTAACAATAAAATCAATGCTTATCTCTTCACCTGTCAGTGGTTAATAGTTGTGGCTGATCAGTGTACATATTTAGCTATTTACCTAAGAATATTTTGACAATTTTTACATTTAACTGGCTGTTAAAAATTGTAGCAATATTTTTTTATGAGTATTTCCTAAACCTAATCTGTGCTAATAATTTATAAAACCACAAAATTCTGTTCAACGACATTTCCCGAGTACTATCACACTCCTAATATATACCTGTGTCACTATCCTGTGAGTCCACGGTACCCTATAAGAGGCATAACCATTTACATTTTTACATTTAGAATTTTGTTATATGGATTTGATGAGACTTTGTCTTATTTTAGGGCATTGTAGCAGTTTGACTGTTTGAATTATATCACAGAGACCTACCATTTATGAAAGAAGATACCATGAGGTAAGCCATATGGTACATTTTGAGCCTTATTATACAGCCATGTATTCACCAATTTCTTTCAACTTTTATGGTATTTTATTTTTTTGCATTTTTTTTTTTAACATGGCAGTGCAATTTAGCGGTTTATTTTGTAAACTAGATGTGTCCTACTGTTGTAATAATCCCTAAATTGTGCTAAACTAGATCTCCTCTACTGAATGATCTCTCGAATACAGAGTGCATTTGCATACTCTTGTTAAGTTTTTGTAAAAGCAAAGAACTTTGCAGTATCTTAATTGATAATTTAAAATGGATTTAACTTACCTAAAATGCAGCCCAAAATCGAATACAAAGCTGAAATATTTTTTACGTGGTTAGATCAGTTCATATGAAAAACTAATTGGTTCTCACAAAATCAGTAGCAATTGATTTGTTTTTATTTTATTGGGGATATTACTTTCATGCCTGTCTTTTCAGAGGTTTTAGACAAACTTGATAACATGACTTTCCATCTCCAGGCTCATCAGTACTCATCAGAAGCAAAGATGTGATGGTATTCTAAAATAGAAGTATTGCATGTTTCACGCAAAGATAACTTTCGACCACATTTGACCACAAGGACAGAACTGTTTGATTTTTTTTATTTTATACAACAGCCCCTTTTCACACTTAATCTATGCAGGGCCGACTTTAATTCTGATTGGACCCTGGGCAAGCATTAACTTGGGCCCCCTGACTACATATAGATACACACAAATACAAAATCTGACACACATGCAGATACACACTGACCGCATATAGATACACACAAGAACATACAGGTACACACGGACTACATATAGAACATTGACACACAGATAGACACAAACACAGATACACAACCTGACAAACATGCAGATACACAGATACAAACACTGATACATGCAGATACACTGACACACATACAGACACACAGATACACAGATACACAACCTGACACACATGCAGATATACATATACAAACACGGACACATACAGATACACACTGATTATATATAGATACACACACAAACACAAACGGACAACATACAGATACAAAGGCACATTCTGACAGACGTACTGACACAGAGACACACACAGACAGCCATACTGAAACACACATACACACATACATACTGAACCACACAGACACTGACCGACTCACACACACACAGACATACTGACAGACATACTGGCACATATACACACAGACTGACATACTGAAACACACATACACACAGACACTGACAGACATATTGACAAGCACAGACATACAGAACTACACAGACACTGACAGACGTACACACATACAGACATTTTGACACTCACAGACAGCCATACTGAAACACACATACACACATACATACTGAACCACACAGACACTGACCGACTCACACACACATACATACTGACACACTGACAGACATACTGGCACATATACACACAGACTACTGACACACACAGACGACACACACATACACACAGACACTGAAACACACATACACACAGACACTGACAGACGTACACACATACAGACATTTTGACACTCACAGACAGCCATACTGAAACACACATACACACATACATACTGAACCACACAGACACTGACCGACTCACACACACACAGACATACTGACACACTGACAGACATACTGGCACATATACACACAGACTGACATACTGAAACACACATACACACAGACACTGACAGACATATTGACAAGCACAGACATACAGAACCACACATACACTGACAGACTCACATTGACAGACATACTGGCACACTGACAGACAGACATACATACATACTCACACACACACACACACACACACACACAGACACTCATGCAAAATTTGATAACCACCCTCCAGTTTCTTACCTTTTCCTGGAGGGTGGCTTCCCTGGGGTCCAGTGGGCTGGCTGGGGTGGCTGGGAGTTAAGCTCTCCCAGCCTGGCCCCCTCCGGAACAGCTCCTTCCTCCCGCGCGGCTCCTGTTTCTGTGGGAGGAAGTGACGCGCGGCTGTCACTTCCTCCCAGTGCTGCCGAAAAAGCAAGGGCCCGGTCGCGCTGTTAAAGCGCCACAGCGCCCGACCAGGCACCTGCTGACACAGGCCCACCGGGTGGCCCTAAGTGCATGGGCCACCCGATGGGCCCCCATAGTTTGCGGGCAGAGGGCAAAAGGAGCAGCTGTCTTGGGGCCCCCAGCAGGGACAGGGCCCGGGGCAGCTGCCCCGTTTGCCCTGCGTTAAAAACGGCCCTGAATCTATGGTTGGATACGTTTTTCAAAATATTTAATAATTTTGGATATGAAAATTTTTTAAAAGTATATCATTTATAAATAATGAATATATGTCAATATATATAAAAATATATAAACATATTACAAAATGAATATATATTGTT